AAAAAAAAAAAAAAAAAAAAGGGCTACATTTCAAAAACACGAATATTGGCTGAGGGTAGTGGCTCATGCCTAGCACTGTAATTCTAGCACTCTGGGAGGCTGAGGCAGGTGGGATGCCTGAGTTCACAGGTTTGAGACCAACCTGAACAAGAGCAAGACCCCATGTCCAAAAAAAAAATAGCTGGGGGTTGTGGCAAGCACCTGTAGTCCCAGATACTTGGGAGGCTGAGGCAAGAGAATCTCTTGAGCTCAAGAGTTTGAGGTTGTTGTGAGCTATGATGCCATGGCACTCTACTGAGGGCGATAAACTGAGATTCTGTTTAAAAAAAAAAAGTTAATATTGGTGACACAGTATTTGTACTTAGGGAGTTGCTTCCCTTTTCAGATACATTCTTCATCTAGAAGATGGGGATAGGGACTCCTCACTTTTATGGTCCCTATCCCATAGTGGGGTAGGGAAGACCTAGTGGTAGGAAAGACTACCTACCCCCAAATTAAGTGCAAAGATGATTTTTGTGTCTTGGATCAAAATCCAAGGAGGCTGTAGGGATCTAGGGTATTTCATTTACATAACTGTCCTTCATGGAGACCTAGAAAATTTTGACTCACACAGAAATCCTACTGCCCAGACTGGACAAGGATTAATTAACTAGAACACAAGCTCTGAGAATACAGACATGCTGAAGCATTTAAGATTAAAGAAGAGAAGATTTGGTAAAAAGTTAAAGTACATCATGGAAAAGAGGAAAGAGACATAGATGAATGGGAGAGAATGAAAACATGAGTTCACTGGGGCCAGGATGCTGGCCTTCCCAGGTTGTCCAACTAATCCACATTAATTGGTTGTGAAGTTCTTTTTTGTTTTTTGAGACAGAGTCTTAGTATGTCGCCCTTGGTAGAGTGCCATGGTGTTACAGCCCATAGCAACCTCAAACTCTTGGGCTTAAGTGATTTTCTAGCTTTCGCCTCCCAAGTAGCTAGGACTACATGCGCCCGCCACAATGCCCAGCTATTTTTGGTTGCAGTTGTTTGTTGTTTAGCAGGCCTGGGCTGGGTTTGAACTCAGTCAGTGGCTGGCGCTGTAACCACTGTACTACAGGTGCCAAACTGGTTGTGAAGTTCTTTTAGGAAAATGAATTACAAATTTGTGCAACTCTTAAAATAAAAGCCTGTACCCAATGAAAGAATGGTTAAAAAAAAAAAATCCCTTTCAAACTAGGCAAAGTGGCTCATACTTGTAATTCAAGAATTGCTTGAGGCATAGTGAGACCCCATCTCACTGTGAAAAATTTAAAAATTAGCCGGGAATGGTGGTGTGTGCCTATAGTCCAGCTGCACTGGAAACTGAGGCAGGATTACTTAAGCCCAGGAGTTCTAGGTTGCAGTGAGCTATAATGATGATATTATACTCCAGCCTGAGCAAAGAACAAGACCCTATCTCAAAGAAAACCACCCGATCAAACAAAACAAACTAATCAAAAAATTTTAAATTAAAATTAAAAAAGAAAAATCCCTTTGAGAAGAATAAAGGACTATGTAAGTATAAAAACCAAACCAAAGTTGGTACAGTGGCTCAAACCTGTAATCCCTAGCACTCTAAGAGGCCAATGCAGGACTCCTGCACTTGAGGTCAGGAGTTCAAGACCAGCCTGAGCAAGAGTGAGACCCAATCTCTACAAAATATAAAAAAGTTAGCTGGTGTGGTGGCACACACCTGTAGTCCCAGCTACTTGTGAGGCTGAAACAAGAGGATTGAGCCTGGGAGTTCAAAGTTGCAGTGAGCTATGGTGACACCACTGTACTTTAGCTGGATGACCCTCAAGACCCTGTCTCCAGAAAAACTCCAAAACAGGGTGGTGCCTGTGGCTCAGTGAGTGGGGCACCGGCCCCATATAATGAGGGTGGTGGGTTCAAACCTGGCCCTGGCCAAACTGCAACAACAACCAAAAAATAGCCGGGTGTTGTGGTGGGTGCCTGTAGTCTTAGCTACTCCAGAAACTGAGGCAAGAGAATCCCCTAAGCCCAAGAGTTGGAGGTTGCTGTGATCTATGACGTCACAGCACTCTACTGAGGGTGGTAAAATGAGACTCTGTCTCTAAACAAACAAACAAACTCCAAAACACAAGGGGAGGTTGTGGGGGAGGTATACAGGTCTGGGTGAGATTCAGATTCCTGAGACTGGCTTAGTTGAGGGCCTATGCCCCACTAGCCAGGTTCAGGACATTCTGGGAAGAAGCAGCCAGGCCTTATCCCCATGACACCTTCTACAAGCAGATACCGTACCAAGCTCCTCTGCCTTAGCTGATCTCTGTAGGAAGGATACCTCTGGCTCCACCAGGAAAGGAACCCAGGTTCATTTTAGGGAATTGAGGGAAGGTCCAAGGAGAGGGAAAGGACTAGGTGAGCAGCAGCCAAGAGTATGGAAGCAGTGACTACCTGCTGGCATCTTCTCAGTGACAGCACTCACTAGGGAAGAGAGAAGGCTGATTGGTGGCTGGGAGGTGCCCAAGGCTCTAGGTGAGAGCCTCATAAGGAGCGACCTTGAACCTCTTTTGGGCTTAGTCATTGGCTTACTCAAGCTCTGCTGCAGTGAATGAAACAGATGCTGCACATGAAATTCATATGTACTTCTTAAACCAGGTGAGGGAAGTTTAACATTCCAGGAGAATGAAAAGCATTCCCTAGATGGCTGATTCTGAAAGTGCCCCACAACTCAGCACAACTGAGCTGACATGTGGGCTATAGGCATCCCTGAGGCCCACATGTCGGGCATAGAGCAGAGCTGAAAACTGGTGACCCATAGACATATTTTACTTGTCCCATCTTCTTTTAAAATTTCTAAATCAGTTGTCAGCACTAAAAAGTGAGAAAAGCTTCCATTAAAACTTGGTTTCAAAAAACAAACAAAAAAATCCACTTGTGGACAAGGCATGGTGGCTCGTGCCTGTAATCTTAGCACCCTGGGAGGCCAAGACAGTGGACTGCCTAAGCTCACAGGTTCCAGACCACCCTGAGTCAGAGTGAGACCCCATCTCTAAAAACAGCCAGGCGTTGTGGCAGGCGCATGTAGTCCCAGTTACTTGGGAGGTTAAAGCAAGAGAATTGCTTGAGCCCAAGAGTTTGAGGTTGCTGTGAGCTAAGATGCCACAGCACTCTCTAAAGATGACAAAGTGAAACTCTGTCTCAAGGGAAAAAAAAAATCATTTGAGTCCAAGAGTTTGAGGTTGCTGGCTCAGCACCTGTGGCTCAAGTGGCTAAGGTGCCAGCCACGTACACCCAAGGTGGCAGGTTCGAATCCAGCCTGTTGTTGGGCCCGCCAAACAACAATGACAGCTGCAACCAAAAAAAAATAGCTGGGTGTTGTGGCGGGCGCCTGTGGTCCCAGCTACTTGGGAGGCGGAGGCAGGAGACTCGCTTGAGCCCAGGAGTTGGAGGTTGCTATGAGCTGTGATGCCATGGCACTCTACCCAGGGGGACAGCTTTAGGCTCTGTCTCAAAAAAAAAAAAGAGTTTGAGGTTGCTGTGTGAGCTATGATGACACCATGGCAATCTACCCAGGGTGACAGAGTGGGACTCTGTCTCAAAAAAAATAAATAAATAAAAATAAAAACCTTGGTTTCCAGTTTCTTTTTAGGATCTAATGATCCTGGACCCCCATTTCCATAGAGGAAGGGCTACAACTCTGAGAGGGTCATGGCTCTCCATGTCACCATAGTTCCCACTCCTCCCCCACCTTGAGACTAAGTTCAGCTCCCAAATAGGATTGTGCTTGCCCTGTGGTTCCTCTTATAACAGAGTTATAAGTAAGGAGCATTATTGCTAATACCCATCAAAAGTGGGAAAATAAAAGGTGGACTAAGAAGGTTGTTATGTTTCAAGAAAAATGGGAGCGAGCCCGTTCTTTTATGGCCGTGAAGAATATTGTACACCGACTTTTCTCATTTCCGTGGCCTGCCTGGTCCCTGAAGGCTTTTTCGAAGGGGTAGCCCACCTGGGACTGCCTGTATCCTCATCCGGGGACAGCAGTTGGGGTAAAACCCTGTCCTTGACACAGGCACTGGGCAGTTAGGAAAGAGCCCATGTATGTAAGCGTGGTGGGGAGCGTGGACATCCCGCCTACCATTGCATTTGGTGATGAGCTGGTCCTTTTTACTAGATTCCTGGAAGACTTTGCTCCTGACACTGGAAAGCCTGGGTGAAGAAGATAAAGTGAGAGGGTAGGCAGGCTGGCAGGGACCCCTGCCCTCCACACCCTCGACTGAGGCCCACTCACGCTTTTTCAAAGGCCAGCTTTTCTTTCTCCAGCTGCTTGGACAGCACCTCTACCTCTCCAAGAGCAAACTGTAACTTCTCCTCTTCCTTGGCCAGGAGGACTTTGGTCTTGGCATGGGCAGCTTTCTCTTCCTACAAGGGCAGCAGCAGGCACTTCATTACCCCAAGCTACCATTGATCTCCTATACTCCCTTAGCCAACCCCCTTTCTCAGAGGGGCACATAGAAACCAGAATACAGGAAGACTCTGGTCTCACTACTAGTGCTAGAGAGGCTTTCAGATACCAATACTCAATGACTAACCACAAGGATGTTGGAAAATGGGGGAAGATTCATAGCCTACAGAGGCTATTACTTACCACTAGCTTCCTCTCTACTGCCTGGAACTCTTCTTTACTGACAAAATTTTCATCTTGGAGAACCATCTGCAACAGAGCCTGGCTCAGGGAGGGCCTGAGGCTGGGGTTGAAGGGGTGCCTGCTAGGGACCAGGACCAAGAATGGATAACAGGATGATGCCCAGGGAACCTAGGATGAGACTGAGGCACTGGGAAGGGAGAATTCAGTTCTACAGATAAACTGAGACTCAGTTCTATGTGCTACCCTCAAGGAGCAACCAGTGTCATGGATGAGATAGCTCACTACTAGCACTTCTAATATGGTGAGTACTGTGATGGGGGAAACACAAGGACAGCCCAACCCAGCCTGGGGAAGGGTCAGAATTGCTTCCAAAGAAGGGAATGTTAGGTCTGAGATCTGACTGGTAAATAGGATGGGCCAGAAGAAGAGGGGTAGAGAGAAAAGCATTCCAAAAGCCAAGGCCAGCTACCAAGAGAAAGATCTGGATACCTTCAGGAAATCAAACGTAATTCAGTCCCTAGCACTGCATTTTGTTGAATGACAGCATTAGAGCAGCAAACAGAACACGCCTCTCTCTCGCTCCTTCTCACATCCAACTTCCCAGAAGGGAAGAATTTGTCTAAGAACCATCAGAGTGAAAAATAGATGTGAAGCTAGTATTATTTCTGAGCTGGAGATACATCCTAATCTTCCCTATCAAGATAGAAAAGCAGGCTCGGCGCCTATAGCTCAACCGGCTAAGGCACCAGCCATGTACACCTAAGGTGGTGGGTTCGAATCTCCAGCCCGGACCCGCCAAACAACAATGACGGCTGCAACCAAAACAGAGCCAGGCGTTGTGGCGGGTGCCTGTGGTCCCAGCTACTTGGGAGGCGGAGGCAGGAGACTCGCTTGAGCCCAGGAGTTGGAGGTTGCTGTGAGCTGTGATGCCACGGCACTCTGCGCAGGGGGACAGCTTGAGGCTCTGTCTCAAAAAAAAAAAAGATAGAAAAGCAAAATATAGGGCGATGCTTGTGGTTCAGTGAGTGGGGCGCCGGCCCCATATACCAAGGGTGACAGGTTCAAGCCTGGCCCTGGCCAAACTGCAACAACAACAAAAAAGGGGGGGCATTGTGGCGGGGGCCTGTGGTCCCAGCTGCTCGGGAGGCTGAGGCAGGACAATTGCCTAAGACCAAGAGCTGGAGGTTGCTGTGAGCTGTGATGCCACAGCATTCTACTGAGGGTGACAAAGGGTGTCTCTTAAAAAAAGAAATAAAATATATAAAATCAACAGAAAGACCAAACAATCCCATTTGTTACTGGGCAAGAGATATGAACAGGATCTTCTCTGAAAAAGACAGATGAATGGCCAAGAAACACATGAAAAATGCTCATCATCTCTAGTTATCAGAGAAATGCAAATGCAAACCACTTTAAGATATCACCTAGCCCCAGTAAGAATAGCCTACATTACAAAGTCCCAAAGCTGTACATGCTGGAGAGGGTGTGGAGAAAAGGAAACACTTTTACACTGTTGGTGGGATTACAAACCAATAAAGCTTCTTTGTAAAGAAGTGAGAATCCTCAAACAACTAAAAGTAGACCTTTCATTTGATTCCACAATCCATTACTAGGTATCTACCCAGAAGAAAAAAACTCATTTTACCATAAGGACATATGCACTAGAATGTTTATCGCAGATTAATTCACAATCTCCAAGATATGGAATCAGCCCAAGTGTCCATCAGCACATGAATGGATTAATAAACTGTGGTATATGTATACCATGGAATACTATTCAGCCATATAAAAAGATGGAGACTTTACATCTTTTGTATTAACCTGCATAGACTTGGAGAACATTCTACTAAGTAAAGTATCATAAGAATGGAGAAGCAAGTATCCAATGTACTCAATACTAATACGGAACCAGAACACAAACAAATACATGCCTAAAAAGAAAAAAACACAAACTCAAGAGGAAGATGGGGGGAGAAGGAAATGGGGAGAGGGGAGGAAGGGGGATTGGTGTGCTCTTATCTAAAAGGCACACTATAAGGATTTATGGCACACTTCCTGGGTGAGGGGCACGACTACAACTTGGACTTTACCTAACAAACGCAAACAATGTAACCTAATTGTACCCTCATATTAATCTGAAATAGAAGAAAAAAAGATTGAAAAGAAAAATCAGGGCGACACCTATGGCTCAGTGAGTAGGGCGCCAGCCCCATATACCAAGGGTGGCGAGTTTGAACATGGCCCCAGCCAAACTGCAACAACAACAACAACAAATCAGGCTCGGCGCCTATAACTCAGCGGCTAGGGCACCAGCCACATACACCGGGGCTGACCGGTTCGAATTCAGTCCGGACCTGCCAAACAACAATGGCAACTACAAGCAAAAAAAAGCCAGGCATTGTGGTGGGCGCCTGTAGTCCCAGCTACTTGGTAAGCTGAGATAAGAGAATCACCTAAGTCCAAGAATTTGAGGTTGCTGTGAGCTGCGATGCCACAGTACTCTACCCAGGGCAACATAGTGAGACTCTGTCTCCAAAAAAAAAAAAAAAAAAACAAAACCAAACAGAAAAACCATTAACTGCAGCTGGCCAGGATTCTATCATCCCTATCCAGGTAATTCGTGACTCAAATGCTTTGCACTCATTAGTTGAGAAAGCAGAAGCAAGTGATATAAAGAGGTGGGAGGCCCGAAAGGTAACGTGGCCAAGGCCCAGATCTGTGTGTCCTGCCCTAATAGTGGCATTGCCTAAGGGTGTTTCATGTTAGAAGCGATAACATAGTTTTGCTGCACATGAGGGCCTTGGGAATTCAGCGAAGTCATCTCCACTAAAAATGAGGAAACTGAGGCTCAGTAAAATCTACCAGGTCCTGCAGCAACCAAACAAATGAAATATTAAAAATTCTCAGCTTAAAATTCTTTGGTAAACCTTCTGGAAGGCCTCGCCTCCTTTTGGCTCCACCCCTACCGGCCAGGACTCAGTTGAGCCCAGGCTCTTCGAGATGACGCCACTGGCAGAGCGTCCTAGCCACGCCCCCTGCTTCGGAATAAAGTCTGGCCCCGCCCCTGTCTGTGAGGCATCCAGTCCGGCCTCTCCTCGAGCTGTTCTGGCAGCATACCACATTCCTCAGCTGGTGGATCAGTTCCTCCTGCGACTCAATCACGTCCCGCAGTTGATCGAAGGCGAGACAGACAGATCCTGACCCCCCCTGCGACCACCCAAGGGGCGTCGCCATCTTCCGCCCCCGCCAGCTCGTTGGAAATGGCCGCCTCTGGGTGCCTCCCCACCGTCGCCCACTAATGAGAATGCGACGCCACAGAGCGCCCTGGCAACCGAGGGCGGAGACTTCCTCTGTCATCCGGATGGTGGCCCTCCCTCTTAAAGGAGCCGTCCGGGGCCAGGGAACCTCTAGTAACCCTTAGGAATTTAAGTTTATAGGTAATTTGCACATTTTTCTTCTGTTTCTCTGTTGTTGTTGTTGTTTGTTTACTTTTTCCCTCTGTCCTGAGGAGCAGATAGGGCCCGGCTTATACTTAAGTGTAAGTAGGTGACACTCAGACACCAGCCCTCAGCTTTCTCCAGGCCCTGCTGAACCCCAAGGCTATAAGCAAGAGCCATTGTAGACAACCCCAGCATCGTTTAACTTTTCATGTCTATTTCCCCAACCCCAATCTCTAAATTTCCACCATATTATGAAACTCCAGCTCACGTAGTACTTAGCCTAAGCCCAGGCAATGAAGACAGGAAAAGATAGAAAATGAGAATGGCTTCACCTAAGATAAGTCTTCATCCTCTGAAGCAAGATTTTTCCCCCAAATAAATGGAGGCCATCCTGACCTCTTGGCAGCCACAGTAGGGCCATGTGTGACCACATCAAAGAGGTCCTTAAAGAGCCTGAAGAGATTAGGAGGGCTAAATGTAGGGAGTGAAGGATAAGATGTTTGCACACATTCACCAAATCCCCACTGAAACCTTTTTCTTGAAATCCAAATGAGATTAAGCTTGACAGATAGAAAAAATACATATTGAATGTTCATAATTTTGTAGCACCATTATGCTTTATGTTTCGTGTGAGGCTTATAAAAACCTTATGAAGTTGGTTGGATTATCCCCATTTTAGGCAGGCTTCATGAGAATGAGGAACTTGCTCACGGTCCCTCAAGCTGGTCAATTGTGGAATAGGTTTCTGACATGGGCAATTTGATTCCAGAGCCTACATTTGTTTGTTTTTGGTTTGGTTTTTTTGAGGCAGAGTCTCACTCTGTTGCTCTGGGTAGGGTGCTGTGGCATCATAGCTCACAGCAACCTCAAACTCTTGGGCTCAAGCCATCCTTCTTGCTTCAGCATTCGGAGTAGCTGGGTCTACAGCGTCACAAAACGCTTGGCTAGCTTTTTTCTATTTTTAGTACAGATGGGGTCTTGCTGTTGCTCAGGCTGGTCCCAAACTCCTGAGCTCAAGTAATCCACCAGCCTCAGCCTCCCAGAGTGCTGGGATTACAGGCATGAGCCACTGTGTCTGGCCTCACAGCCTATGTTCTTAACCATCATGCTGTGCTGCATTTTTGTTGAACAAAAAGGATGGTAAGGCTAGGCAGGTGGCTCACACCTAGTAATCCTAGTACTCTGGGAGGCTGAGCTCACAGGTTCGAGACCAGCCTGAGCCAGAGTGAGACCTCTTTAAAGAAATAGCGAGGCATTGTGATGGGCATCTGTAGTCCCAGCTCCCAGCTACTTGGGAAGCTGAGGCAAGAAAATTGCTGAAGCCTAAGAGTTTGAAGTTGCTGTGAGCTATGACACCACCGCACTCACTGAGGGTGACAAAGTGAGACTCTGTCTCAAAAAAAAAAAAGATAGTAAGTTTATGGAATTTGATACCCCTAAGCAGGAAATGACTATATTAACAAGGAAAAAATGTTATCCATGACTAGGAAAGGAAGCTGAAAGTTCAGATAAGCCACTCAGGCTGCTCCCAAAGCTCCCTAGGGTCTACTTCTGGGTCACAAACTTGGCCATCCCTGTAGATCTCTAAGTGGTAGCTCTTGTTTTGTCTTGTTTCTTGAATTTGTTCTTATGTCCTTTTCTTTGTTTTTTTTTTTTTTTTTT